ATTCCGGAACGACGAAGCGTCGAGCTGGTTGGAGCATTGGGACCCTCTCATTCAAGCCCACGCTGCTTACATGAAGGCACAATGCAAAAGTAAGGGGCGAAAAGTAAAATCAGTTACCTTAACGGTCGATTAGTAGTTTCCATACAATCTCGCCTTTCATTTCAATTGCCTTCTGTGTTGTTTTTCCATTTTGTGTCCCTTTGCTCTCTCAATCCATGATATCATTGTTGGTTTCTTCCCTGTTGTTTAACAGTATACGATCGAAAATTGCATTGTTTAAGGATATCATACATTCTCATTTGGTAGCGATGTTTTATATATGGTTTTTTTACTCATTGGATATAACTTGTATATTATTTCATAATATTAATAAAAAAACAATACGACATTAAGCTAATAGTTGACAACAACAAAGTAATGATATACAATTGATCATATTCGGATCCAATATTCACCCATGTCATCAAAACCTGCAAGGACCTCCTCGCCCTCATCATCATCGTCCTCTCCATCATCCTCTTCTTCCGCCATGAATATCGGATCCCCAAGAATCTCTTGCCAAATAACTGCAGTACTGGCCACCATACGTTGCCAACCGTCTATCATTTCCCCATCGCGTTGAACACTCCCTCCAACAAACTGCTGCGTTGATTGAACTACTTCCAGTAAGCCACGTTCCCATCGCTTCCATAGGAGACAAGCCCGTCTCGAAAGCCCCCGGTGAACTGATTTCCACTCCGCAACTCGTCCTTCGCCTACAAAACAGTTGTATACCATGTTAGTGATGGATTCCCTCGTCCTTTTTGAAGCAAGAGTTACCATTGGCCTCATTTGGCTTCGCTTCATCTATCCGTCTTTGCCAGTCAACAGCCCATCCAATAAGTTGCCTAACTTCACGTCCCAGACGGCGTAGCTCCTCCTCACCAGCCGTCTTGCTTCGAAATGCGACTATGCCATCTTTTGTACTCTGGCAAGACGCCCATGGCTCATCCTGGTGGACCAACGCTACCTCATCCCAAAAAGGATCCAGGAGATCCATTGCCTGCACATCGTCCAAAGAAGGTTCAGCCAGGCGTGGCGTCCGCCGGTATCTTTGATTATACTTCTTTGCATGCCTCAAATAAGTTTCGAGTTTCTTTTTGCGTTGCGCTCGTTTCTTGGTTCGTAATTGCTCGTTACGGGGCTGCTGAGTGGCCCCTAAAGGCCGTAGTGAGCATATTGGAATATTAGGATTCGTGAACTAAGAGGGAGATACATACCTGTTCGCAACGCAGCGTCAGCAAACTGTTGTATTACATCAAATTTCGCTTCGTAGAGAAATCCTAACGCCACCTGGACTGTCATAACAGCCTTCACTCGGTCATCTGCGTAAGTGACACGATGTTATCAGTATATACTTCAGACTTTTTTGAGATATTAGATGCTATACCTACTCCCACGTCGCCGAACATTGAGTAATTCAGTGTTCCCAAGCTCTTCTGCGACTTCTTGCATCTTGGCCTCCAGTGATGCCAAAGAACCGGGAAGGTCCAGAAGTTCATTACGTTGCTCAGCTGTACGAATTTCGGCATTAGTGGCATTAAGCGCAGCTAGCTTCTTGCTGTGCTTAACACGCAGGACATTAGAAACGCACAAGCTCCGGTAGCTAATATTAAAAATACGCTTACCGAGCTTCCAATAGCTCCTCCTCCAGTAGTACTAAAACCTCTAATCGTTGACGTCTGTCCTTAGTCCTCGTGGTAATGGCTCTAAGCTGCAAGTCGCGCTGCCGGGCCCACTGTGCCTTAAAATAAGCCAACGTATGCGCCGGGTTGGCCTGGTGAAGAATGTTAAGCGTTGCCTGGCTCTCAAGTAGCTCTGCCCGATATTTTTTGGTATTGCTGGCCAAAAACGCAACTTTGACATTTTAGGGTAATCAGGTGGGTCTATATCTTCAAATCATAATTGGTTCACACGCACCAGCTTGTTTCCGTAAGGTATCATTCCTATGGGTCGTCCACAAATGAAGACTGACGAGCCTGTGCTGCTTAGTAGCATAGCGCAAAAGTCGAATGAGGGGGGCAAGTTTCCACCAAACTCGCTCAAGGCCCTCTCCGTTGGTCTTTCCCCACCCTTGATTAAGCCGTGGGTGGTACTGCAACTGGCAACCCCAGTTATGAGCATACGCGTGAAAAAGCGCTGTACCTACTTTGATTTTGTCGGCATATGCTGCATCGGTGAAGACTTTCTTCTACAGTTGAGTGGCACTAAATTCAGTTGGTTAATAATCAACTCTAAATTACTAGTGATGATACTCACCTTCTTGATGGTTTTATCCAAGTTGCACCCAATGTCGTAGAGAACACCCAGGGTGGTCGTACCTGATGGATCGGATTTGATCAAGTCCATTAACCATTGGATCAGAGCTACCGCATTATGTGACCTAATATGAAATTTGAGTAAATTATGCGTCAAGTCAAATTATTACCTACCTCGTGTGTAAAACTTTCACTTTGGCCACACACTTTTCACCGCTCTGGACGAGATTGATAAATTTCAGGACATGGTCGTGTCGACACGCCATACCTATCAAGCCTGATTCGTCCATGTTTTTGAAATGCCCTTTTCCTCTGACATCGTTAGCGGTGGTATGGGCTTCAGTGCATGCGTCCTTCATAAGTTAGGGAGTACAGTTATATAGTCAGTAATATTGGCGATGCAGACGAGGAAGCAAACCACCTACAACATTAATTTTCGGTCCTTTATCAACCAAACGCGCAGAGGCTTCGACTGCTTTTGGATCGAGGAAAAGTCTTGGCCGAGGGGGCTGCGATCCCGGAATTGCAACACTGGCCGCAGTGTGTCTTTTATGCTGAAAGTTTCCATCTAGGCATACTATCACATGAGGCTCTTCCGGTGTGTTACCACCACTAACGTGCGGACCAAAACATTTTGGACAGTTCGATGCAAGAATTCCTAGCTCTGACAAAGCAAGTTTTTGATTCTCAAGCTCTCGTATTTGCATGATAATAGCCCGATATGCATCGACGGATACTGTAAATGGCTGTGCCCACTTGCGCGGCTGTAAGGTAAAAATCACTGATACTGCTTTACTCAATGATATCGCCAATTGACTCACATTGCCCTTGGCTGTGAGTATCACTGGACTGTGAGAGTTGAGTGTTGAATCGAGTGCATCACAGTACCCTTCAGTAGGTACTGCATAACGTACCCACTGCGAGTGATGATGTACCAATAGTCGCAACAAGAATGCCGTCCGAGGTTTGGAAGGCGAGGCTGCCATGTAGCCCATCTGCAGGAGCCTAGCCGGGTCAGAGAGGTCACAATGCTTGCAAAACGCCACTTTAACTCGCCGTCGTGCTGTCATACGATTCATATTCAGCCTTTGATTTGTTTGATAACTTTGACAACTCAATAAAGGTCACTTAATCTGACCCACATAATAAATCAACCAGGTCTACATTTCTTTCGGTCCTGCAAGCGCACGTGCAAGTTGGCCGTAAGTCGAGGTTCCAATTCTGTTGATTTCCCCAGTCAGAAGTTTCCAACCTACATCGCAGGAACGTGGGCAACATGATCGCATACTGCCAGGTCCATTTCTTTTCGTGGGCTAGACGGTCGGCAAGATGTCTCTCCCTTTGTAAGGCGGCAGCAATAGGGTCCTCTGGGACGTTGTTGTTGGGTGGAGCTCTAGCTGGCATGAACTGATTGAGATCAATACCATCACCTTCTGCTAAGTCTTCCCCCGCCTCGTCATCTAGCAGGTGTTCCCCAGGGTCGAACATTTCTTCGTGCAAGATATCTTCGGGATCTGGACCGACAGGCGCGCGTGGTTGTAGGTCTGCGTTGATTCGCCTAAGTAATGCAGCCTGGGAGTTCTCCGCATGTTGCTCGTCTAGCCGCCGACGGTCCAGTAGCTGTTGTTGCAATGCGGTGACCGGTTTGAGTGGTTTGGCATGATGATTTATTCCGTGAATCACACGTTGAGGCATTGTCGAAGTTCCAGTCGTAGATTTGCAAATAAGTCGTGTGAATGAGAGACTTAAAGAGAGACTTAAAGATCCGATTGCCCAAGTGGAAGCGAGAGCCAAGTGAGGAAAGATTCACCTGGGCTTTGACAACAATAAAAGAAAAAAACCAAGTGCACGTGTACCTACGAGAACAGTGAGATAAGAGACTAAATTGGACATGTGATTACCAAATGGCGCAGTCTATGTAACCTGTGACATGTCGCAAGTCAGAACGACTTGCGAAAAAAATGGGGGTAGTGCCATGGCTCGAACACTGGAACTGGACTGTTGAAAGTGCTTCTCCAACCCATGAACCAAGCGTCTTACCGTATGACCTACTGAACCCATAACACCAGGGGTTCTACAGTGGTTCAGACGATGACACATGTCTGGGAATTATATATTTCGATATATATATCACAAAGGCTATAAAACATTACCATTGTGTTTGTTTAATTGTAAGTTTAATTAGAGTTTTCGTAAAATTATATTTAAGTTGGTATTCATATTCGTATTAGCATTGTAAACCTACCTATCATTATAAATATTGTGGAGGTTAAATAAAGCATAAGATACGTAGACTGCTTTTCGTATCTTATAAAGCATAAGATACGTAGACTGCTTTTCGTATCTTATGTCTGATTCCATTCCCAATCATCTACATCTTTTTGATGAAGTAAGTATGATCATTGAAGCCATGGTCTGGTGGGTTGCTATACTTTGTTTTCCTTTTGTTCAAAGGAAATCGAAATTATCGAGCAAATTGTGATTTGCTGGACAATTTCGAATTACTTTTATCTACATCTTATCGATGAAGCTAGTATGATCTTTGAAACCATGGACAGGTGGGTTGATATACTTTGCTTTCCTTTTGTTCAAAGGAAAAGCATATTAGAGATTAATTCGCGATTTGATCGATAACATTCCTTACCCAATTACTCAGTTTTTAATATCATCCTTTATGCATCAACAGTGTGTAAAGATTCATCAACAGGCTATCCATCGACAGTGTATCAAGATTTAGTAAGCATATCCCTTCATTTGGTAAGTTTTTTATAAGGTACCCATTATGAGAATCCAGAATCGGGTTGCAAGCATATAGCATATTATAGACGTACAAGGTGTGAAAAAAATTCAATGAGTGGATGTGTGCAAGTCACGAAATTTATCCAAAGTGATATAGATATATATGCAAGAGATAGAATTAAGCAGATCAACGGGGATGCTTATTGTCACATGGGGATAACACCATTTGACCGTTATCACCATTTTATCACCATTGAAGCTATATTTAGTATTGATTTGACTTTGTTAATGTATATACAAAAGCCTTTACGAATCAATGGAAGGTTTCTTGATGCGCAAACTTCCTTTGATTCCTGCATGCGACCAAGCCTCGAGGCCGCGATGTGTTATCAAGCCAGGATACCAGTTGGCTTTTTACTTTTTGTTATTATATATAGCAAGTGGCAGTTGATAATCGCGCCTTCAACATAACTGCAAGACCATTTGTTTCATTCCAGTGTTACATTCAACAGTCCCTACTCGATATTAGGGGTTAGACTTTCCTCTTCGAATCTATTATCAATAACATTCCTATCTTGATTTGAATATCTGAAGTTTTCGTTTGGTGTAGATTTCCCTCACCTAACTAATCATCCAGTGTTCCACTCGCCAGTTCCTACTTGATATCTCGAGATTAGGGTCAGACTTTCCTCTCCTCATCAATCATCAACAACATACTCATTATTATGATTAGTATAACTTTCTGAAGTTTTTGTTTGGTGTAGATTTTCCACAACTATTTAATCGCACAGAATAACCCTACCCATACCTTGGAAAGGCATCGCATTTGCCGGGTTAGTCAATGGAGTGTTTTTTTGTTTTATTATCTTTTGTTTAATTGGTCCTTATAAACTAATTATTGTTTGTCAACTCCTCATTCCTCCACCTCTTGCACCCACCTATCGAATGGACATCCTTATATTTGGGACGAAAGATGGAATCTAGCGAATGTCCCCAACAGGCCTCTGGCCAAACGACCGTGGTTGATTCAAGCCTTGTTGTTGGAGGTAGCAGCATGCAACAATCGACTCTTGTACCATCAAGTCAAACCCTGTCTCCTGGTTTTGCGGACACCACCCTTGAGAAGGAGTTTGGGGCGATCAAGCCGTTTGAAGACCCAATAAATACTCACTGCACTAAGTTGGAAGAAAAAGCGCTCGAGGCATTCAACAATTTAGAGGGCAGTTGGCAAGAGTATCAGAATGTCCTGATGAAAACCGAGGCAATCCGCAAGGGCAAGGTTACCCCTTCGGAAGCTGAAGAGATGAAGTGGGTTTATCATTTTTATACGCCTTCAGAAGAAAGATTACAAAGACTTTCAGCGTGAGTATCCTATTCGCTAGTGTCTTTGTTTATTTCTTGATCATTCTCGTTGTAAACACGCTGACACATACTTGTTACTGATATTTTAGGAGGGGTTGGATGGGAAGGGGCTCATCTCCGGATTCCTTTGATACCAGCGGCCAGTCATGGCATGCTGAGGAGGACCAGGAATGGCTACGTCAATGGAGAAAAAAGCACGGTGGTCCAGCAGACTATCCCGCCAACCCTGCAGGGCCTAAACCTCAATAACCATCCAATTTGTGGATATTATATTGTCCATTCATATATCCATCCAGAAAAGGCGTGACCATTGAACGCCTTCTCAGTAATCAACATTCTGTTTGTGCCGTTTTCACTGAACATAAGTTGTTGATCACTCAGGTGAACATCAAACGTCTCGCCGTATATCTTTGACGTCTCAATTACCTACTTGGTGTTTGCTTCATCTCAGTGTTCCCTGTGAATCTCCGCTTGCTCAACTTATAGACCAACTTAGCAGCATGTATGTTGAAATGGATAATGTACTTTGCAACTCCCAACCTCAGACTTATCTTAGCTTTTGATTTGCTAAGGAGTGCTTCCATTTGCTCTGTTTGCTCCGCTATCATGCATCACTGTGACCCACTATGATGCAATCAATAAAAACAGCCAGCGTATTAATGAAATAAGCATTGAAACCAAGGGGAGCAACCAACAAGGTCCACTTTCAAATCTCCAGATTTACAACGAATTGTAGATACCACAAAATCTTAAACATTACTTTGAACACACATTCAAACGCATCAGGCAATGCAAACATCGGCAAGAAAAGGTATTGTAAGTATTTCCAATATATGTCAAAGTACTTCATTTGCCAAAACAAAACAATCATAAACAATTGATTGAAGGACGACCGACCATCAAATGAATACAAGTAAATCAACCAAGAGAAGAATGTTTACAACTTATGAATATAAGTAAATCAAACAAGAGAAGAATGTTTACAAGGTAGCCATAATTAACATATCAAGTACCTCAATGTTTCCAATTCCGATCCTTCATTTTCAAAATATCTTCACAATCCCTGAAATGTCGTTCACAGTTTGATGTGGAGTTGTACTGAGCCGGGGTTCCCAGTTTGACACTTGCACGCGCGGTCCTATAAGTGATTTGCGAAGAGCACCCCAGGCGAGTGTAATGTAGCTTGTGACCGGCTTTGTTCACTGAATCGCTTTCCTTGGATTGGAGCGTATGATGCAGCGTGGTCTTACCATCCCAAGAGATCTGCACAGCCGACTTACCACCAAAATTGAACGCCAGTCGGTACTCAGGAAAGATAAACCAACCCCTCTCAAGCATAAAACCCTGTATTTCCGTGACTATCATTCCACTTTCACTATCTATCGGGTACCACAAACAGTACACCTTTCCTTTATCGTTATCCGTATGGGGCTTGTTGTAAAAGTTTAACAGAGTGAATGCCATGTTTGAGGAGAAATCCGTCTCGCTAGCAGGTTGAGTTTTTGAAGTGGATGCCATGGGGGGAGCATGGAGTTGGTTGAGGAGTTCACGAGCTACGATAAATCCTTCATCGCAGAAATCACGAAATCGCGAGCCAATGCGCTTACCAAAGGCAGGGAGACGTTCGAGAAATTTTTCGTAAAGCGGACGAGATGAACACTTGTGAGGCAAGTAAGGCGAGAGTAGGATATCGCTCGAATATCCAACTGTTTGGCCAAAACAATACATGGCACCATTAATCAGAGCTCCATTCGTGGTTGGCTTGGCCTTGGGCTTGCGAACTTTGCCAACAATGTTTATAAACCCTTTCTTGGTGGAGGTGTCAGTGTAACGACATCGCTTATTGACAGGGACTGTTCGGAGGGCCATGGCTTCAGTATCCGATGGGGGGAGTGATGTCAGCGGGGAAGATGGTGGAGAACGTTGTATTTCCAAGGTAGCCAGGGATTCGGCAGTTAAGGGTTGTGAAGTTCCCATAGGGAATGGTGAGCATGGCGGAGATTGGCGTAAGTTGAGTGCCGGGAGAGAGTTCGTCTCGTCCGTCTCCGAAGGTGAAAGTGAGGTTAGCGGCGAAGATACTGTTGAGGTTGCCAAAGCTGGAGGTGGGCTGTCCGATCGAGAGGGGTGATGAATGGGTGATTGAACAGAAGAAACGGGGGCAGTAAGCTGAGCAGGTTCGGATGGGTTTGGCAGTGCGGAAGTTAATTCTTTCTTAGGCAGTGGGAGACGGTTGAACAGCTGAGTCGCCATTAGGATAGTGGTTACGTCCTGTTGATGAAGCTGGCGTTGATCAGGTGGCATGGCCTCCAAGTCCTCATATGCGAAAGTGCAGATGAGTTTGTCGGAATCGCGATCCACAAATTGACTGCGCCCATGGGTTACAACCGTGTAGCAGTTGAAAATGATTTCCATAGTCCGATCGTAATCTTCAAAGGGTAGGAGCGGATCATCCAGCCTTGTAAAGGAGCGATCATAGGTTTTTTGTTTTCGATTTTCAGAACCGGCCGACTGATCAGTTTCTCGGGATGCGTTGACCTTGGTGCCCTTTGCCGGATGTCGACTGTCCAAAGAAATTATATCAGTTATTGGGTGCTCACATATCAATGGCCTGAGAACAACTCACGGCTTTTGGCGTCGGCTTGTTCTTGGTGTTGGTTGGCGAGGTGCTGGAACCCCCGGATAATGATATTCTCGGTAATAGTCAAGTGCACTTTGCCTACGGTAACGATATTAGCTGATGGATAAAAAGAGATATGAAACAGGGGAACTGAGGACTGACACAAGGGCTCCTTTGCCGGATTTTTTCTCAATAGGAGGTACAGCAAATTTACAAGCTGGATGTAGCCAGTATTTCGATTTGGGGAAGCCATCCGGCGCTAGAAGTTCGTGAGGCACGTGAGAATAAGACTTAGGATTACGGAACGGTTGGGGAAGCTGGTTGATCGAAGGGCGAGCAGGACACATTATCAGTCAAACCGTCATAGGAAGTTGAGAGTGTTCATACTTACATCCTCGTCAGTATAGCCAGTTTGACGTTTCACGTCAATACCTTTCACGAGGTCCGATAGGAACTTGACCCCCGGCAAGGGCGAATGAGACCTGGGAGTTTGATGCGTCAGTAATTGGGAAAGCATGGGGCAAGATGATGGGGTCACTCACTCCTCACCGGGTAAGTTATGTTGGAAAGTGGTCCTCTTCTCAGTTGGCCAGCTCGGTTGCACATGAGTGCCCATTTTGGACCGATTATGAGTTCCTGACATTTTTGGATCAACACATTCGCTTATTGAACAATCGCAGCTTTTGGTGCAAAAAAATCATGGAGTGGGAATAGCCTCTTGGAGGTATTATCAACCTTACAATCCAGGGGATGGATATGGACATCGGCAGGTCGTATTTCACGCTTTACAGAGGAGATCTATGCCAACCTGCCGAACCGCCATACCCATACCCAGGTTCATAAAGGCCGACCTTTCCCTCAAGTGCCTCCAGAAGAGATGAGATTGTCGGGAGAACTTACTGTGTTGGATCAGGCCCGTTGGATGTTAACGAGCCAAGTTAAACGACTTGATGCCAAACGATGAGTTGATTGAAAGTTGGGAGACTTGTGTGTCCAAAACGAGGCCGGAGTCGGTCGCGAGGGGGCGATAAAGTCAATGCCCCTCGGATGGTTGAAGATGGAAGGATGTTTAATTTGTTCGTGAGATTAACTGAGGGCCACGGATGAGTCAGTGTATTATATACGAATGGAAAGAAATAAAAAATGAGAGGATACCTTCTAAAAAGAAGGGACAAGGGAGTTAATTGGATTCTATTATCACTTACATACTTAACTAAAAGTCAATTAAAAGATTGATCGGTAGGATCTTCAGGGGTGAGACAGGAGCATTGATTGGAAATTCCTTGATCGTTTGTATTTGTTATTTAAGGATGGTTGAGTCGAGGGAAATGTGGCATACCAAGAAACCGATGTCAAGAAATTTGAAATGATTGGCCGATATAAAACGTAAAACGTTAGTTGAGGGGTTAACGACGTGGCATTACAGGGCAGTCCGGACTCCGGAGGTGTCCGTGTTGTATGTACGCAACTAGATGGCCGACACATTACAGCTTTGTAAGTGTCACAACCAACGCGACATTCCTGGTTCAAATGTGTCAGTATATATCATACCAAAGAAGACCAAACACATAAATCAAACACCTAAATATTATGTACATCATACATAATATTTAGCAAAGAGGGTTGGTTTTATGTGTTTTTGACTTTTGGATCACAGTTGGTTTTGACTGTATTTGACTTTTCGTACGTTTGTGGAATCTCACACCGAAATGAAGGCAGGAGGATCATGTGTCTCAGGCAGGACATCGGATTCGGTTCCGCGTGTGAACTTCTCACATGAGATGGGAGGTGTCTCTTTGGCATGTATATAATTGGCAGGTCACAAGCGGTGAAAGCTTTGTTTCGTTTGACATCCGATATGGATAGGAAATACATACAGCGTTTTTATTGGCATGTATTTGAAATGCTCATAATGAACCATTTAAAAATGGGGGTAACAAGCAAGTAGAAAGAATCGAAAGAAGATGTATATTGTGACAGTTTCCATGAACTTAGCATGCACCATATCCTAATGGATAGCTGAATCAGGGTTGATTCCATTGTTTTCAAGGGTATCATTGTCTCCTCCGATAGGTTTGTCTTCGGATTGGGTGGGCTTGTCCTCAGGGTCAGCAGAGGATTTGCAATCAGGATCCGGTTGGCTTCGGATAATGTTGTAACGTTTTGCCTCGATATCATTGATCCATAAGTCGACTTCATCATTGGACAGCTTTCGAGGTCCCCTCATAAGCATGTCGTCGGTAATTCCACTATCTTGGGTTCGGTGGATAGCAAGCTTGACACCACCGCGAAATTCTTTAGCTTTAACAGCTGTCGCTAGGTCTTGTACTTTAGGGTGTGCGTCACCCTTGCCCTGAGAGCCGCCTCGAAGATGTGGGGCTTAAAACACCGAGTCAGTATAGTACAATTTAAAATGATGGGATGTGGGTTTAGAGAAGGGTGGGTATTACATATCAAATCGTTCAATGCCTTTGCTAGTTCGCCTCGACGTTGGGCTTGGCGGGCGCCGGCTTCCGACACAGGCTTGGGCTCAGTGTTTGTAGAACGGAGATGCTGTGGTGCCTTGGTGGATTCAAAAGTAAACCGTTCCAGTAAATGTGTCTTCTTTTCAAGCCGGGCCCAACGTTGACATGTGGTGTGCTCGGCCTGGTAGAGGGCGTGAGTGCTGGGGGAGGCTGGGTCCCAGCGGGCAACCATCAGGTGAAATTGTAAATCGAAGTGATTCTTCAAGAGGTGAAGCTGAGGAGAAAAGTCAAAGTCAATCTGACATACCTGAGAAGTAAGGTGTGGAAATGAGACTGACCTGGCGAAGGACTTTACTCATCTCAGTTTTGATCAACTGCTGTGTGGTCCGGTTTTTGGATTTGCCGCTATGCCTCCAGAGTCTGCCATCGTGCAAGTCGTGTTCAACCGTCTTTAAGTTGACCAATCCCTCGAAAATTGGTATGTATTTCTCTCGTTCTTCCTGGGTTAGCGGTTCGAGGCCCGGGGAAAGGGTATTGGAAGGAACAATACCAAGAGGTGTTTGAGTGAGTGCATATGCCTCGCTAGTCGCAACACATAAACGTTCGAAAAGGCGAGGAGTGAATACTTCATGTTTGTCGTCGGTATAAGTTGACCACGTCGTTCCTACAATGCGGTTGCGTTCGGGAAAGCCTTGTGAGACTCCCTTGGGTGGCACTGATGCGAATTGTGGTCGTTAGTTGATTGGGAACTGTTTGCCATGAGCGGATCGTGGCAAAACTTACTTTGAGTCATGGTAGCAACATTGCTGTAGGTTTGGTAATTTGTGTACATATTTGGTTCTCGACCGAGTGGGCCTTCGAGTCTATAAGGCGGTCATTGGTAGATCGTGTGAGTTTGGTTTGAGAAAATTATGAACAACAGGGAGGGCTTACAAAAGATCATCCAGTACTTTTCGGCTGCACTTCAGTGCGATGCACAACATCGTTTTGTCTAGCTCGTAGTTGGATTGCAGCGCTTGTGCTTCAAAAAGGCCAATTGCTGAAGGTCGATTGTTCTTGGGAAGCTTGAGACCAGCCAGGTAGTCCTCAGCACGAGCTAACCCCCATTCAAGGCCGAGTTGGTGATAGTTTGTTAGATTAGGGGTGGTGGTGTTGGCCTGATCATCTTCATCTTCGAGGTCATTGAGTTGATCTTGATCTTCGTGGTCCACGGTGTCGTGGTCATCGGTGCGTGCGCGCTTTCGTGATTTGGTTGCTGGTGGACATTTGGTAGCTGGTGGACGTTTGGCAGCTGGTTGAGTGGCCTTTTTGGGGGCTCTGCGTCGACGTGTGGTGGTGGTGGGTGGTGCGAAGCTCTTATTGGAATTTGTGTCAGACTCTGCCGGAGATGCTGATCGCCTTTGCGTTCCGGATCGTGTGGGCATGGTGGTACAAGAGGTTATGGTGGGTGATAATGATTGATGAGATGTGTATTGATTGTTGGCTGGGATGTGAGGTTGACTAATGGTTGGGTGGAGTGGATTAGTAAATTATGACTTGAGTTGTATCGTTTGACTTACAGGTTGGAGATTTGGGATCGTGGTGGGTAGATGTATGTCTTAAGGTCGTGACTTGTGATGAGGTAGGTATATCTTGGCTGTGATGTCGTGAAATCCAGTTGTGCGAGGGGGACGATTTGGGTGTGGGAGGGACTTTTTTGCCCTGGTGTCTTGATT